AAGCAGAGGGGAGCTTGGTGGCTGCCTACTGGCAAGAAAGGTGCAGGGTAATGTCAAAAATCTGCATTCCGTTCATTTCAGAGCATTTATGGATCTATGCTAAATTTGGAGGTTGATGCAAATAATTTGACCACAGAAGAGACTAAACTTGGAAGTGTCAGTTCTTACCACTGATAGTGATTCAAGTGGAAGTGTAGCTTATGGTACAAAGAGGAGGCTAAGAAGTAATATCTTTGATGGTGCTGTCTTGGGATACAAAGGGTGTCAGAATTTAGTCCTTAGGACTGACATTGGTTAAGTACTCAGAATATGACGGGCACACTTCTTCAGCTTTACCCGCCACACCTTTCACTCTCACAGTAGCCCCAAGAGGGAGGTCCTCTGAACATTTCCATTTCACAGATGAAAAAAGCCAAGAGCTTATGTAACTTGCCCAAGGTTCATGGGGGAAGAGCAAGGATTCAAATCCAGGTAGGCTGGCTGCAGAGACCTTCTTAACTATCATCCTCTGTCTTCTCTCAAAACAGTTTAATGACGCAAGATCAACCAGTTAGATATCTGGAAATGGAGGTGCATGCATGCTGGTCACGGTTGTTCATGGGTGGCATTTGAAAATTTTTTGTGCCTTCAGAACAACACAATGGTAAGAAAAAAATGAGAAACCCCAAACAAGAAGTATCAGTGCAAAAACACAGCACAGTGCATGCAGCCTTGCTGGATACAGGAAGACCGGGGCATTTTGGTGAGGACATGTGGGAAGGAGAGGCTGGGGGAGAGGTCAAGTGAGAAGAGAACCTTCCAGGGAGAGCATGTACTGGCCTAGCAGGGAGTCACACAGTAAGGAGCACACAGGGCCCTTGCCATGGTGTCCCCAAAGCTCCATCTCCATGACTCTGGCAACCAGAAGCTCACTGGGGTCAGGACTGCCATGGTCCTGGTCAGGGAGAGAACGGCAAGCATGGTCCCAGAGCCATCCCACTGCCTCCATTTCTTTAAAGGCTTGAGCTTCAGGATGGTTCTCTTTGTTCATAGCCTCATCGACAGGACTGGAAAGAAATCTCGACCTCTGTTGGTGCGTCTCCCACCCTTGACAGACTGTAGAAGGGCCTCAGATGAGGGGGGCTTGCCAGGGCCATCCAGTCCACGGGCAGCAGGTCTCAGTTGTCCTGAATCCCGCCCGGCACCTTTTAATGAGCTCATTTTCCCGAAGGCCTCCATTTATAAAGTGCTCTGTGCAGCTAACGAATTAAGTGGTTAGTTATTGATTCAGAATCAGTGACTTCCTGTATTAAAAAAAAATTCTTTGTTTTTTTTTTTTTTGCTTTGTTTTCTAGATTTTTTTGTCCTCCTTCTCTCTCCCCAACCACCCCACTCTATGTCTGACTTCTCCCTTGTTGGGCCTGGTTGTTCTCAAATTCTTTGTGGTCTCTCCTGGGTTAGGGTTCTGTTTCTTTTTCTCCTTCTCGTGGTCCTCCTCTCTCTCTCTCTCTCCTTTGCCCGTTCCCCCTCCTCAGCCTCTCTTCCTCTTTCCCTCTCCCTCTCCCTCATGCTCACACACACACATAGGCAGACACCCTCTCACTCACGCTGGCTCACGTTCTCTCTAGATTTAGAGAGAGACAGAGACAGACTGGCTCCATCCTCTCCCCCTCAGGAGTGCTAAAAACCAGTCCATCTGTTGTAGATCGGCTTATTATTTGAAAGTTTGCCTTATGGAGAAAGAGGGAAGCTAGGATTCCTGTCTTCTCTCACTCTTTCTCTTTAAACACAGGGAAGTGACTACTTCTCACCTAATCAGTGCATTAATAAACACTTGGCAGGACCAAAAAAAAGCCATATTGACGTTCTCCCTTTAGGGGAATTGGTATAGCTCTTTTTTGCAGAAGGGCACTTCATGAATTTTTAATGACTGAAGTGGTGCAGGCTAGTCAGGGCTTCAGCATAGCTCACTCACTCTCCCTGGATATCTGGCTTCCTTCTTAGCACTGTTGGCCCATATTGGACATAGAAATTGTGTCAATAGGAAGAGTGAGGCTTTTGAGCAATCCATCTTTTTTTTATTATTGGTTGTTCAAAACATTACAAAGCTCTTTGACATATCATATTTCATACATTTGTTTCAAATGGGTTATGAACTCCCATTTTTACCCCGTATACAGATTGCAGAATCACATGGGTGACACATCCACGTTTTTACATACTGCCATCCTAGTGTCTGTGGTATTCTGCTGAGCAATCGATCTGAACCGTGAGGCTGGTTATGGTCTTAGGGAGGTTCGGGACTGGAGCCCCGTGTGGCTGAGGCTGGTGGTGCCCAGGAATCTGGGAGGAGGAGCTTCCATCTTTGAGCTCCTCCCAAGGATTCATTCTTTCCTAGTGCTACTAGAATGGAACCCTGCCAGCAAGGCCTCCTTCTACCTTCCCACCTTCTCTTCCGCAATCATCAGGGATGACTGAATGCGATTCTTCCTCATGAAGAGCTGATGTTACCCAGGAGTCTCCACTTCTCCCCAGAAGCCCCCTCCACCAGACTCACTGAGCCTGGTCTCTGTCACCACCAGGTACCTAGCTATCTCTCCTTCTCAAGTATGACTATGCATGCAGAGCTACTCTTAAGGTAGCACTACATAAGGGGTGGCCCTTGGCAATCCAGCTCTCTCCCTATCCCCTCTAGTCTGTCCCTGGGCAGACCATAAGTACAGGGGAGAGTCCATCTTTGATCAATGTGAATTACAAAGTCTCTCCACCTTGCCCTGCCATGTCCCTTGCTGCTCTTCTTCAGAATCACGATGAGCATGATACCAGGTCTCACAAGATGAAGCGTCTGGTAGGATGCTTGACAAGTGCTATGTCATCTTTAAGAAGAAGCCAAGTCGAGCCCTTCTCCTTCACAACAAGGCTCCATTTTGGAAATGCAAATGAGATCATTTTAGAAGGGACGGAATGCTCCAGGAAGGAAGTAAATTTTTAGTCCCTGTCTTATAGGTCTTTGAGTTAGTCTTCCTTTTTTTACAGTTGGGTTGATGAGTAATGTGCCACATCCACCCACCTTGGGAGCCAAACCCTATATTTTGTTGACTGGTGTTAGCAATGTCATTCATTGGATGCTAGAGAATCAAAGTCTTCTTTCCATATGGGTTAAGTGCCAACTATAGACCTCATTACCCCACTTGCTCTAACTTCCTGAGATAACCTGCCTGCATTGGCATCTTAGTGTATTTGGGCCACTTTAATAAAGTATCAAAGACGAGCAGCTTATACCAAACAAGAATTCATATTCCACAGTTCTAGAGGCTGGAAGTTCAAGATCGGGGGCCAGCATGGCCAGGTCTTGGTACGTGTGCACTTCCTAGCTCACAGATGGCTCTCTTCTCACTGTGTTCTCGCCTGGAGGAAGGGACAAGAGAGCTCTCTGGGGTCTCTTTTATCATGGCACTAATCCCATTTATGAGGACTCTGCTCTTACACCTAATCACCTCCAAAGCCCTTACCTCTGTGAACATCATCACCCTGGGTATTATATTTCAACCTATGAATTTGGGGGGACATAAATTCCATCTACAACAATTATTTGGGCAAAAAATTTCCCAGGAGCCCTGTAAAGGTACCCTTCCTTTTCACGAGGCAGGGGCCAGGGAGTTGTGGAGAAACATGGCACTCCCTCCCAAATGTCTCTGTCCTTTCTGGATGAAAGCTTTACCCAGGGTAGACCTGCTCTCCAAGGGGCAACTGGAAATGAGCAGAAAGGTGTTCGCCGTGACATCGATGCCAGCAGCCAGGAAGGCCCAACGCTCTGCCATGCCGCCTACTGTCTGCACTACCCAAAGCAGAAACACAGCTGGGAAGTCACTAAAACCCAGCGACACGGAGATGGAAGTCCCCTAGAGGCCAGGATTTGTTGTCCTCGTTTTACAGAGGAGAAAATCTTGGCCAGAAAGGGAAAGTGGGTTGCTTAAGGTCACACAGCTAGCTAGTGGCAGAGCTGGAGTGGAGCCCAGCCTGGGGTTCACCTTCCAGCCAGGACACCTTCTGCAGTGCTGATGCCGCAGAGGACTGGGGAGGCGTTGGGCGGCAAGAGTGCCTTGCTGAGCATGGACTGCAGGCGCAGGACAGGCAGGGCCACTGGGCAACTGCTGACTGTATCTGAAATTCTGGAGGCGAGCCAGCATGTGGTCCCCTGAGCCTGCAAGGTTGGGCCTGCTCTTTTCCTCTGGATTGACTTATTTTGCTCAGATCTTCCTTCTCTTTCCAAAAGACACCCCCAGACGCCCCCTTCATTCAGGAGTAACATTAGTTAGCTTAATGAAATGGAGTCATTTCCCTTGGGGTAGAAGTTGGTCTTTCTAAGGGAGGGCCCTGTGGAGTGTACCTTCAATGAAGGATAGAGGAGAGGCTGTGGGTGGGTGGGTGGCAGGAGACCAGAGGCCTATTCTTAGCTCTGTTGCTATGTGTTGTGGTGCAGGCCATGGAGGCTTCTTGTTCTTCTTGGCCCAATCAGCTCTCAGCATTCTGCATCCTGTGCTGGGCCTTGGAGATCACCAGCCATGTGTCTCTTTCAAGCCTTGGCTGGGTGGGGATAGGGAAGGGAATCCTGGAATAGCTACATGTTTCAGCCAGTGTCCAGCAGGAAACAAAGAGTGTATGCCAATGAGGCAACTCAGGTGAGTTTAATAGAAGAACTGTTTTCTGAGGCAGGATCAGGTGTGGGGTAGCTAATGGCCTCCGAGTCCCTCAATCTCCCCCTGTAGACTCTCTTATCCCTTATAGAGAGGAAGCTTGGTGGCTGGGTATCTTCCTCTTTTTTTTTTTTCCTCTAAATCCATTTTTTCAGGCTTCTTTGCCTGTTCTGGAACCTCAAGTTCTGCTATCCCTTCGTTCTCTCATCTGTTTTGGACTAAGAATATGGGGAACAAACCCCCTTTCTCTCCTAAGCACTCAGTCTAGAGGGGGAATCTATGGGTTGATTTTCTGTTACTCTAACAAAATACTCGAGGCAGGGAACTTTATAAAGGAAAGTTTATTTAGCTCACAGTTCTGTAGATTCAGGAGCATGGTGCCAGCATCTGGGTCTTGAAGTGAGCTTCAGAGTTAGATCACAACATGACTGACAGCATCATTGTAGGAACATGAGCAAGAGGGAGAAGTGTCAGGGGAGACAGGAAGCCAGAGCAATGCAGGGATCATTCTCTTTCTTTATGGTGACCTGATCGCAATGAAATCATGGGGACATGAGAATCACAGTGCCAACCCCAATGACAAAACCATCTTCTACTAGGCTTCCCCTACAGTCTTCCACATGGCCACCTGAAGACCAGACTTCCAGCACATGAACCTTTACACTTAAACCAGATCAGGGAGGTATCTGTACCCACCAGGGATTACTGCACAATGTGACCTCACAGTGCTTTGGGAATGCCACATTGTGACCTCCTAGCTGTCTGTGGAGACAGGATGGACAGAAGGCTTCTCAGAGGCGAGGACACTTGACCTGGCCAGAACTGGTGGACAAGGACCCAAACTACGGGCACCAGGAAGAGCTCATGCAAAAGCACCACTGAAAATGGAAAAGACAGTGCTTTCGAAAACCATTCATTTATTTTCATTGCAAATAATAGAAAATAAACCCAAAATAGTTAAAGAGAAAGAAAAAAAAACATTTTATAGTCTCTAAAGTTCAGGGGCTACAAGCGTGACTGGCTCCAGGTGGCCAGATACAATTACCAGGCATCTTTCTCCGTCTGTTTCAGACCTGCTGTCTTTTAGGTTAGCCCACTGAGGCAGGATGTCTCCACTGTGGGTCATGGGGTGGGGAAACAGTTCTTAAAGTATTCCGTCCATGTGTTCCATTGACCTTGGGGATCTAGGTAAAGATCGACACCTCTCTTGCAGCCTCCAGAGAGCAAGTATTGTGATGAGATACTTTCACCCAGGTCACCAGGCCTCCCAGTTGAGGGGAAGGGAAGGAGAGACTTTGGCAGGTCCTGATCCCTGGCCTCTCCTTGGGCAGATACAGACAAGGAACAGTGCTCCTGGGCCATAGAGGTTCCCACTAGGAAAGAGTAGTTGAATTACCGGAAGAAGAGATGTATTGTCAGTTCCTCATTACTATAACAAAATCCCTGACGTAATTAACTGATAAAGAGAAAAACTTTTATTTTGGCCCAGGGTTTTGGAGGTTCCAATCCATAATTAATGAGCAGAGCACATGGCCATGCAGACTGCTTATCTTATATACCAGGAAAGCAAAGAGAGAGAAAGAGGAAGGAGAGGGGTGCAGGTCCTACAATCCCCTTCAAGGACACACCTCCAGTGACCTAAAGACCCTCCACAGGGCCCCCCTTCACAAAGGTTCACAGTGTCTTCCAACAGTGCCCCCCTGTGGACACTCACCTGAAGCACAGCAAGAGGGGAAGGCAGAGCATTCTGGGAACTCCAAAAATATTGCTACTGTAGCCCATTTCACTGGGTATAGCTAGAGAGCAGGGTCCAGGTGGTGACAGCCTCCCCCATTGCAATGGAACACTCCTGAAGGATTGTAAACGAAGGAAAGACTTAGACTTGAAAACTTGAGATTTAATCTCAAAACTAAAGCAACTCTCCAAACAACAACAACAACAACAATAATAATAATAATGAAAAGCCATACAATACCTTCTAAGCCAAAAAACAACATGTTTGTAATTATCTGCTATTTAAATCTCCTTGTTCCATTCCTTTCCCCCAAATCTTCTCAGGAGACAGGCTGCATCACCTAAGGTCAGTGTGTATTTTCAGATTGCATTAGAATTCTTACTTGTGCAGGGACCAGAACCTTTTAGTTCGGGGCTGGAAGGACTGGGCTAATGTGCTTGATTGCTGGGCTGGGCTCAAGTTCAGCCGTCTCAACGGAGCCAGAAGCATTTGCAGGCAGCTCCTGGCTGGGACATTGACAGGCAGCCTCCTGTGCTGCTGCTCTCAGTAACCCCCACCCCCCTGTGCGCCTGTGAGTCACACTAGGGCCCTGTCAAACTTAGAGCAGGCGCTAAGCCACACGCTCTCCCCGCTCCCCCCACAGCAGCAATTGCTCCTGACAGTGTCTAATTGCACAATCCCTTTCCATTTGTCAAGACCCACCAGTCTCCGTGCAAAATAGAGACTGACAGTCGGGTGGGGGTGGACATGTACCAGAGCGGAGGAAGCAGAGACATCTTGCTAAGAGTGACGAGGGTGCATTGGGAAACAGAAGCTTCTAGTAGGGTATGATAAGAAGCTCGTGGCTCAGGGCCTGGGCCTTGGAATTGAAAGGCCTGGGCTAGACTTCAGAGGCTGCTCCTTCCTAACAAGGGATCTTGGGCAAGTTGCTTAATTTCCCCAGCCTTTAATTTTTCTCATCTGTAAGATGTGAGATTAGAGCACACAGATGAAATGGGATGATTATAAATCACTGTGAGCAGTGCCTGGGTCAATAACTGTCAGCTCTCTCAGTGTTCCATGTCTCCTGCCTTTTGGTTACCATATCCATTTCTGATTGGATCTCTCCAGGTTGCTGGGCGTTCTTTCATTCTGGTGCTGGGTTGTCCGTGGGTGGTGGGGTTGGGTGGGTCACACCGGGTGAGAGGAATCAAGAAGCTTTTATGGTGGCCTTGATCCCTAGGCCTTCTCAGATAGGACTTCCTTCTGTCTGACAATTTCCAGCCTGCCTGGAAGGAGTGAAGGTAATTACAGAGCTGGAAGAGATGTGGGATTGATTTCGTTTGCAGAAATTCCAAGTGTGCAAATATTTTCACAGGTTCCTTACTTATGAACTCGGGCTGCAGGTTGAGAACTTCCATGTTATCACTCATCAGTAGTGTTGTAGCTTTGGGGGAACTTCTAAATGATCTTTCCTTTCCAGTTTGGAGTAATTGAGAAGTAGGAGCTCACAGCTGCAGGACTGGAGATTTGACCTGTGGTCCTGATGAGGCTGTCTCCACCCAGCAGCCAGAGTGAGTGATGTTTTAAAAGTATGAAACTCCTCATGGTTTCTTATTAGAAGAAATCGCCAAGCTTTCTATCTCTGCCTCGAAGGCTGTCCATGATGTGCCCGCCCAGTGTTCACCTCCTTCCACCCCCACCCACCCCCTCACCCTTGCTCACACAGCTATGGGGCCCTTCCTGGGGTTACTTGAGCATTGTGCTCGCTCTGGCCTCAGGACCTTTGTACATGCTGTCCCCTCTCTGGCACTATTCAGGTCACTGCTCAGCTGCTGTCTCCTTGGAGAGGCCTCCCCAGCCATTGTCTGAAAGAGCTGCTCTCTCTTGTCACTGTCTTCTACTTTATCTCATTTTTTGAATGTTGCTTTTTACTATTTGACACGATAGTATGCCTTTCTAAAAGCTTATTTGTTTGGATCTGTGTCTGTAATTTTGGTGCTGGTTCCCCAGAGCCTCACATGGGACCTGACAAAGAGTAGGAGCTCATCAGTCCTATAGCTGGGCTCATCTGAAAGGGAAAATCAGGAAGGGACCAGCTCACACTGCGCAGGTGCTTCTCCCAGGCTCACTGATGGGTTCAGCCATTCCACCCTGGTAGTTCCAAGTCAGAAGGAACCTCTTCCCCATCCAGAGGGGCTCATAAGCATAGTGAGTATTGCTATTGGGGAACTGAGGGCTCAGATACTTTGCTTCTTCCTTCCCTGGGGAGGGGCCCTGGCTGTCCAGCTCCACCTGGGACCACCTGCAAAGGTCAGTCTAGAATGGGAGGAGCACAGCCTCATCAGGACCGCGGGTCCAATCTCCAGTCCTTACAGACAAGAACACTGAGTCTTGATGAAGCACCTGTGGCTGGAGGTCCTGTGGCTGGCACGTGGCACGGCCCCACTGCAGTGCACGTCTCTGCCCTGTCACGGTTCTGCTCGGGTGTTTCTCATAGCTTTCTGTTTTACACTTTATGAGGTGTCCCTTTATAGCTGGGAAAGCTCCTGTTTGGGGTCCCAGTGACTTCCTAGCATCACACAGCTAGAAGTGGCAGAGTTGAATTTGGATTCCAGACACGGACTCAAAGCCTTAGCTTTCCATCCCTGCTGCACCCTGTGGCCTTGCCCTTGACCAGACACTGTGATGAGGTGAAGGACACCTGGTGCCTCCATCCTGAGGATTGGTGGGGTGCAGAGCAGGGTGCTCTGGAAAGGTAATAAAGAGCCATGTAGAAGAAGAGAAGAAATTACAGCAGCGTTTGGTTTTATCTTGGCTTTGACAGGTTCTCTGGGTGAGGTCTGAGCAGGATGTGTTGTGTCTTTCAACTTTGTTTTATTTAACTGTTCACCAGCAGGGTTATGCGGATGGATGAATGAATGATCACAAATCCCTTGGACATACATGTCTTAATCTTTAGTGTGACAGGCCACTGCCTCTTCCCCTTGATTGAATTGAACCACCTAAAAGATTGATTTTCTTTCTTTCTTCCTTCTTTCCTTACCCCGACCCTTTTTTTTTTTCTTTTTGGGTACCAGGGATTGAACCCAGGGGCACTCGACCGCTGAGCCACATCCCCACCCTATTTTGTATTTTATTTAGAGACAGGGTCTCACTGAGTTGTTTAGCACCTCACTTTTGCTGAGGCTGGCTTTGAACTTGGGATCCTCCTATCTCAGCCTCCCAAGCTGCTGGGGTTACTGGTGTGTGCCACCATGCCTGGCGATCTTTCTTTTTTAGGGATATGCTATAAAATATAAAGATTTAGAGCAAAGCAACCCCCCAAACTTGGTTAATTTATTTACTTCCTCTACTGAGCAAGAGTGGACTTTTCTCCAAATGTTAGTCATAAAGTGCCTACTGGAAAGTAGAGTGGGCCGTGGATAATGCATGACCTCCTTCAGTGTCACCTCTGACATTCACAGGGGGGACTCCTTCTCCTTTTGCACTGCTGAAGGAAGAACTAAGATGTAAATATATTCAGTCATCCACAGTATCCAAGAGGGACTGGTATCTGGGACCCTCATCAGATGCCCAAATCCTTGATGATCAAGTTGCTCATGTGACATGGCCTAGCCGCTGTATATAATCCATGTACACCATCCATGCACCTTAAATCATCTCTAGATTACTTCTAATAGCTACTACAATGCAAATGTTATATAGATAGTAGCTGCACTATATTGTTTATGGACTAGTGATAAGAAAAAGTCTGGAGATGAGGATGTGGCTCAAGCGGTAGCACGCTCACCTGGCATGTGCGGGGCACTGGGTTTGATCCTTAGCATCACATAAAAATGAAATAAAGATGTTGTGTCCACCGAAAACTAAAAAATAAATATTAAAAAATTCTCTCTTTCTCTCAAAAAAATCAAAAAGAAAAAGTACATGTTCAGTACAGAGGCAATTTTTTTTTCAAATATTTCATCCATGGTTGGTTGAATTTGCAGAAAGGGAACCTGTGGATACAGAACTTGTGAATATGTAGGGGCTGACTGTATTGTTCCTTTCTTTTGAGAAGCAGGTCTCATACACCAGTTCTCTCGGATTCACAGCACTTCTTGCACAAGAGGTAACGTGTGTGTGTAGCAGATCTGAGTGTTAGTCCTGGTCCTTGATGAAGGCTACTTGATCTCTCCAGCTCTCGGTTAATCATCTATAATAAGGAAATTATAAGAGCATCCACCCCAAAGTGTTGTCAAGGAGGAATAAAATAATGTGCCCCAAACGCTTCTACCTGGTGCACAATAAAAGAAGTTCATTGGATTGGACAACTGGGAATGAAGGGAAGAGAGTGGGGACGGAAATAGGAAAGGCAGTGGAATGAACTGGATATGACTTTCGTATGCTCACATATGAATACATGACCAGTGGAACTCCACATCTGGTACAACCACCAGAAAGGGAAGTTTTACTTCGTGTAGGTCTGATGTGTCAAAATACCCTCTACTGTCATGTATAACTGAAAAAAACAAGTCTGAAAATGCTTGAAACGCAACTTCATCATCATGAAAGTAAATAGCGTTGATAATACAATGAGGGCCTCAAAGCTTTGTTCTTCGAGGTGAAATCGTGAGTGCCTAGTTTCCTCGGAAACTCAAGACTTCTGGCGACAAGCCAGAGCTGACGGAGTGAGAAGCAGGACCCACACATCCTAAGCAGGAAAAGCACTCCTCTCGGCTCCTCTTGCACCTGTCCTCTTGTCCTGGGCCCACTCAGTTCTCCAGGGCATTGAGGAAAAGGCCGTGAACGTAGCCCTGGCTGGGAAAGGGAGAGCGCTTGGCCAGTTTCTAAGCTGTAGCTGGGGTCTCTACCAGAGGGTGTTTTCTCCTATTAGAGACTCTACCAGAGGGTGTTTTCTCCTATTAGAAATATGGCTTCTGGAATCCATACCAAACAAAACAAGGTGGCGAGTCCTCTCCCAATTCAAGTCCCAGAGTCCGTCCTGGGCTGAGTGGAGTTACAAGGCACTTTTTGGGTTTTTATTGGTACCACCGTGGCACTCAGGGCCTCACCCATGCTCAGCACATGCCCTTCCACAGAGGCACCCCCAGTCCCCAGGGAACCGTCACCAGTCCTTCTCCCGGGTGCCCTGATGTGATGGTCAGCCGAGGCACTTTGGCCATCCCTTCCTCCTGTCAGGGGCTCCCCCTTCACTTGTGCCCTTCGAGTGGTCATGCCTTTTTTTTGTCTTTTTTTATGTGTTTCTTTTGTCTTTTTTATTTATTTTCTTTTGGTACTGGGGATGGAACCCAGGGCCGCTCAACCACTGAACCGCATCCTCAGCCCTTTTTTTACATTTTTTACTTAGAGACTGGGTCCCGCTGAGTTGCTTATGGCCCAACTAAGTTGCTGAGGCTGGCTTTGAACTTGTGATCCTCCTGCCTGGCTTTCCCAAGCCACTGGGATTACAAGTGGAAAGCACCACGCTAAGCTGCCTTTCTGATTTTTAAGAATTAACAGGTAAATTAAACTAAACACATGGGTCAAATCCTAAAGGTTCCAAGGCATACACTGGATCTCCCC